GCGCCTGCAGAGGCCAAGGCGCAGGAGCAGCCCGCCTGCGGCTCCTGGGAGTAACTGCCCCGGGGCTCACGTGCCCGTGGGGAGAGCACAGCCCGTGCCTTGCTGTCCTCCTCCGGCTCCTCCTCCTCCTCGTCGCTGCTGTGTATCAGCATGGTGGCCTCTGAAAGGGACTTGCTGTGACCGTATCTCAGGCCTTCCTGCTCGGCCGTCTCTCCCCGTCTCGTCCTGTCTGGGAAGACATTTGGCTGGGAGCCCGCGGAGCTGGCCCGCAGGGCCACGTCTGCGGCCGAGGCTGACATGGTCCTGTCCTTGAGCCTCATGCCGTCGAAGCTGTGCGTCAGCCCCGCGAGCTCGATGCTGTTCCTCTTCTGCAGGTGAGCGTGCCGTGCGGCGGTGAGGGGCTCGCTGACCTCCTGCAGGGAGTGGGCCACGGGCAGGCTGTCCTCCTGGAAGGTCTGGACCGAGTGGTGGACACGCCGCGTGATGAGGTCAGGGTTGCTGCTGCTGATGTAGAGGTGGCGGGACAGGTCGGGGGTGCTGTTGGCGGGCCGCGGGTACGGGTACGGGTACGGCGGGGGCGGGCGGTACACCTGAGTCCTCATGATGTTGGGAGCCGGGTAGTCCTGGGCCTGGAGCTGCACGTTGGTCAGCTCGGGCACGCTGACGGCGCCCACCACGGGCCGCCGCTCTGCGGGGTAGGGGTACGGGGACTGGCTGTGGAAACTGTAGTTCAGGCTGAACGGGTAGTGGGCCGACTGGGGAGAGGGGAAGTGGGCGTGCTCCCGGATCTCGGGCTGGCTGTAGACCAGCGCGTCGGGCCTGCTGTAGGCGAAGGAGTGGCCGATGTTGAGGTTTCTCAGCGAGTGGCTCTGCCGCTCCGCGTGAGCCATCCCCCGGTTGAGCTGCTTCATCACCGTCTCGTAGTCGGGGGTCGGGCGGTAGGACGGGGGGATCAGCGCGCTGTGCCGGTGAGACGGGACGTAGTCGGGCCTCATGACATCGCTCCCGGTGATGCTGGGGTTGGAGGACATGGGCGAGGGCTGCGGGTAGGGCTGGGGGTTGTTCAAGGAGCTGGTGCTGTGCGCGCTGTACACACTGCCATTGCGGATGCGACCGTTGAGGTCGATCTGGGCTCGATCCAGGCTGGTCTGAGAGTGACAGTAGTATCCATTCTGGTTGGTCACAAAGAGGTTATCTGGGGGGGAAAACATTTAAAATACAGTTTAAAAGGAGGTTTTTTAAAAAAAGGTACTAAATTGGACTAATGACTCTGGACAAATACTGAGAGAGGTCTTAACTGTTGATGCTGTAGTTTATGGAAATGGCACTGACATGACCTGGCTTCCCCCACACACGCTGAGTGACCCTGGGCGGGTCATTTCCTCGTCTATAGGATGGGATGGGTCTGCCAGCTCCGAGGATGGAGTTCAGGACGTGGCACCCAATAAAGATCAGGCACATCTAAGCCCAATATTAAGAGTACAATTGCAACACAACCCATCGTCTTTTTCTGAAAGTCAAAAACATGTTTGATGGGAGCAATGAAACAGACCTTCTGGAACCCCGGGAGCTGCAGGCTGGGGCACCCGGGGGCGAGGGCCCTGACTCTGCCTTCCCCTGGTGGGAGGCCCTGCTGATCGGAGCTGGCTCAGGCACCAGCTGCCCGCAAGTGCACCCTTACGTGGAGCTGCTGCTTGTTTGTGTAGGTGCTTCCAGATGAACAAAAAAGGGCAACGTCTGGGCAGAATCTGAGCTTCTCCAGATCCAACAGTGTCAGCAGTAGCCACGCCTCACCAGGGGGCCAGAGCCGAGAAGAGCCAGTCCCCCAACTTCCACAGCCGGGAGCCACACTCAGAATCGGGGCTCACTCTCATCGCCATTGCCCACGAGTGCACGACCCTGCCGGGGCTGGGAAGAAGCATGCTTCCTGCAGCCCATCTGCGGTTCACCTCAAACACTGCGAGATGATCTCCAGCCCTCAGGAAAAGCAGCCGTCCAGTCCCTCGGGGAACAGCCTGTGTGTGAAAAGCTGTGACTGTGTGATTCTAAGGCCCCAGGACCGTTTAAGTGGCACCTGATCCTAAAGTGAATACACGGGGGCTGGGAAGAGGCATGCTTCCTGCAGCCCATCTGCGGTTCACCTGAAACACTGCGAGATGATCTCCAACCCTCGGGGAACAGCCTGTGAAAAGCTGTGACTGTGTGATTCTAAGGCCCCACGACCGTTTAAGTGGCACCTGATCCTAAAGTGAATACACCACGGGCTGGTGTTTGGACTTGGATCTGGCGGCACACAGCCATGAAGAGACAGGACTCAAATGCATCCCCGTGTGCTCACCGCTGGGGCACGGTGCTTCCTGTCCCTGCGCTCTTCCCGTACCTGGACACACACACACACGAGCTCTGAGTCAGGAACCCCCGACCTTTGCTCACTGCAGCCTGTCTGGACTAGCGCAGCCACTGCCGATGCGGAGCTGGTTCAAGCACCAACTGTCTGCTCTCCCAGCCTCCAGGCTCCTCTGCGCACCCCACAGACCACCCATTGGTGAGCCCATAGGCGTAAAACACTGTACTAAGAACTGACGGGGGGAAATGACTGGAACCCAGTCAAATAAAAAGGTCTGGGTTGATGGGGACAGAGAAGAGAAGATCAAGAACCGCCTCACAGAAGCTATGGCACTGGAGGGGCCTTGAGGGACAGGAGGACGGGGCAGGCATGCCCAGCTTTCAATAGCAGCCGGTCTACCGCCGAGTGCACGCGGGATCACGCTTCCTCCCCTCTGGAGGTCGGGCACCACCGTGGGACGAGTAATGGTCATGGGAATGTGAGCAGAGGCCCACAGCCCGTTTCCAGGCTCCTTCCCTGCCATTCTGACCAGCAACATCGCAGAGGGAAGCAGGGGCCTCCTGCCCATGCACGAAGGTCAGGTAACTGAGCAAGAAGTAGCTTCTCCTGAGTAAGCCACAGGGGGCTTAGAACGGTGTTTTCCCACAGCACAGCACAGCCTACCCTGACTGGGCAGAGGCCTGTGGGCAAGAGGGTGCGTGAAGGTGCGTGGGACAAGGGCATTCTGGGTGACAGGGCAGCAGAGACCCCCCGCCCTAGAGGCCATGCTCAGTGTGGCTGAGCACCAGGCAGCCAGAGAGGAGTGAAAGGACAGCAGAAATAAGACTGGAAAAGCAGTGAGGGAGAAGCGCCGAGTGCTGAGCCCAGGCAGGGGATGGTCACCAGGAGCCGCGATGAGCCTGGGAGGTGGACACGGAAGGTGTCAGCTCCTGTGACACAGCAGCTCGGGAGAGGTTTAAACAGGAGAAACTGGGTCCGTCACAGAGGGACAGGAGAAGGAAGAGATGTCATATGAAGCTAGAGGCCGTATAATCCCATAGATGTGTAACTAACTGACTGGCTGCTGAGGGCAAAAAGGAAAAAGAAGATGAGAAAAATGACATGCAGGTTGGAATCCAAGGAACCAGGAGAGTGGCTTCATCATGAGGATGAAGGAACGTGGGGAAAGGGACAGGCCGGTCAAGTGGAGAGATCAGATTTAACATTTCAATCAGTGCTCAGCAGGTCGGCATAGCTGGTGAGATTTACCGAGTGCTCGTCACAGCCTGGTGCTGTGCCCGCCACAGCCCCCTGCTCCGCACGACCACCTAACAGACCTGGAAGCGTGGGCTGAGCACAGGAGTGAGGAAGGGGTGGGAAGTACAGACCTGACACTCGTCCTTGGTGAAATCTGGATGGTGGCTGAGCCTGCACGGGTTGGTGGTGGTGAGGGGGGTTTGAGAGCAGGCATAGGAGCCGTGAGCAATGCTGTCGGTGCAGAGGAAGAGGGAGAACCCGCACACTGAGATTTACAGGCGGAGAGCACGCTGGACTCTGATGGTAAGGAGGGTGTGCGGGTGCCGGGACCCAGGAGAGGGCAGCGTGAACAGAAGAACAAAGGCGGGAGGAGTGAACGGGGGACCAGACGGAGCAGTACACAGATGTCACTCTCAGCAGAAGGGGGTGCAAGAGGAAAAAAAGGAAAAACACCAAACTGCAGTTGGAAGAGAGAAGAGACAAAAAAATAGTAAGATGTTTGTAGACCCAGGGAAAGAAATGAGTGGGAAGGAAACACCAGCAATGGGAAGAGAGCCTTTTCCCAGGAGGAGGAGGGCTGGGGTCGGAAACCAGACCAGGCAGGGTGCAAGGCGGAGAGGACAGTGATCGTGGAAAGCACCTGAGTCCGCACCCCAGCACTGCTCCCCTGCTGCCCGCCTCGAGGCACGGAAATTCCCATCTTTACCACAAGGCCCGGCACAAACCACACAGTCCACCCACCGTCTGTCCCTTCAGCATCATTCCTACCAGTTCCCTGGGTGAGCCCACTGGACCACTCTCCTCTCCAAACACCCTTCTCCTCATTCTGCGAGACAGCATTCACCGTCCCCCCAAACCAGCAGCAGGATCCCAGTCAGACACCCACCCCCTCTCTACCTGCTGAAACCCACCCACCCATCTTCTGAGGCCCGAAAGCCCTTCTCAATCTCCCCAACATGAGGACACTCATCCTTCCACTGAACGGAGCAGGAATTGCTTGCTCTCTCTCATCAAAACAATCATGTTCTCTTTGTATTTAAGTTATTTGTGTACTTGTCTTACCTCCAACTATTAGATTCTAAGCTTCCTAAGGTGCGGAATGACTTCTCTGCATAAAGCTCCTTGGCCTCTAGTACAGTGATGGCGAACCTTTTGAGCTCGGCGTGTCAGCATTTTGAAAAACCCTAACTTAACTCTGGTGCCGTGTCACATATAGAAATTTTTTGATATTTGCAACCATAGTAAAACAAAGACTTATATTTTTGATATTTATTTTATATATTTAAATGCCATGTAACAAAGAAAAATCAACCAAAAAAATGAGTTCGCGTGTCATAGGTTCGCCATCACTGCTCTAGTAGGTCCTTGTAAACAAAGGAGAGAGATGTTAAATGAATGCGGAGATTCAGCTTTGGAAGCATTTTAAAAAAAAATTTTTTTTTTTTTATTTCAGAGAGGAAGGGAGAAGGAGAGAGAAATAGGAACATCAATGATGAGAGAGAATCATTGATTGGCTGCCTCCTGCACGCCCCCTAATGGTGATCAAGTCCACAACCAGGGCATGTGCCCTGATGGGGAATAGAACCGTGACCTCCTGGTTCACAGGTCAATGTTCAACCACTGAGCAACACCAGCCAGGCTGGAAGCACTCTCTTAAATACAGCTCCCTATACTAATCAAGTGAAAAGTTAAAATATGTTTTTAAAATAAAATGTTTAAACCTCTATAGTAGGAAGGGCTCAGGCAGGGGAAAGACAGAATGAACCTGGGACGTCTTGTGCCAGAAAGCAGGGAAGCACTGAAAGCTAACGGCGGGAATAACAGGACACACAGGAACCAGCTGGAAGAAGAACCAATGGGACAAATTAGGGGTTATGTGAGCATCCAAATGTAATACATGTGATCCAGCAATTCCTCTTCTGGGTATTCACCAAGGAAACATGAAAACACGAATTCATAAAGATATGCCTGCACCCGAATGCTCACTGCAGCATTATTTACAACAGCCAAGACATGGAAACAGCCTCAGTGTCCACTGACGGATGAATGAGTAAAGATGTGATGCCTGTAAGTACAGGAGTACTACTGAGCCATAAAAAGGATGAAGCACTGCCTTTTGTGGCAACGTGAATGAATCCTGAGGGTATTATGTTAAGTGAAGAAGGACAGAGAAAGACAAAACTGTATGATTTCACTCAGCTGTGGAATGTAAAACAAAAAAGTAACAAATGAACTAAAAAAACAACAACTCACAGATTGGTGACAACAACAACAGAATGGTGGTTACCAGAGGGGAAGAGGGGAGGGGAGGGCAAAGTAGGTAAAGTGGATCAAATTACGGCAACGTAAGGAAACTAGACTTTGGGTGGTAGGCACGCATTTGATTATACAGACATCAAATTCTAATGCTGTACACATGAAACTTACATGATATTAAACAACGTTACCTCGATAAATTTAATTATTTAAAAAATTTAATACAGTAGTCGCCCCATCTCTGTGGTTTTCCTTTCTGCAGCTGCATTTACCCACGACCAACCATGGCCTGAAAATATTACATGAAAAATTCCTTACATTTTGAGAAAGAGAGAGCACATTCACATAACTTTTATTAGAGTATATTGTTACTATTCTCTAACTGTAAAATGAACTACTATTGTCCTTTTTTTATTAGTTATGGTTAATCTCTTACTGTGCCTAATTTATAAATTAAATTGTACCCTGGGTATGTATGTTTAAGAAAAAGCACAGAACCACCCTAGCTGGTTTGGCTCAGTGGATAGAGCATTGGCCTGCAGACTGAAGGGTCCCAGGTTCGATTCCAGTCCAGGGCACATGCCCGGGCTGCAGGCTCGATTCCCAGTGGGGGGTATACAGGAGGCAGCCGATCAACGATTCTCTCTCATCATTGATGTTTTCTACCTCTCTCTCCCTCTCTCTCTCCCTTCCTCTGTGAAATCAATAAAAACATATAAAAAATAAAAAGAATAGATCAATAGTCTCTGAAATATACAAAATTAACACTATTTAAAAAAGAAAGAAAAAGCATAGTACATATAAGGTTCGGTACTATCCCTGGTTTCAGGCATCCACTGGGGGTCCTGGAACATATGCCCGTGGATAAGGGAGGACTAATGTACTGCATATTTTCTACACATGTCCAAGAAACAGAATATAACGGCAGCCTATCCTATGAATCTAGCATGGCTACCACCATCACACTAATTTTGCATGTCACTTCAGTCAAAAATTACACTGGCTTCAAGGTTTCCAAATCTCGTGACGTATTCAAATTGTAATCATGCCGTCAGGCCCCTGAGAGCCAGCGCCCCTTACCTTGAGAAGAAGTGTAGGGTTCTGTGTAATGTCCATTGTAATGCAGCGGGGGTGGGGCGGGCATCGCATAGGGTTGAGGCTTAGGCTGAGAAATGGGAAGTTGGAGGCGGGGTTAAAACACACTGCCTAGGTAACATGCAAAGGCGCTGTCTGCTGGCTTCTTTGTCTCCACTAAAACACTCCCAAAGGAGGCACAAACATACGTGAAAAGCGAACATAGAAATCCACAGCCCTTATCTGCCATTCTCACTGCTGCCCCGGGTGGCGATGCCAAGCCCCGTGCACTGAGGGCAGACATCACACAGCACAAGAAAACGTGCTGCGTCCGAAAAGTTAAGGGCAAAGAGGGATAGACAAAAATGGCCTGAATTCTCATGTAAACATGAATGTAAGAAACTTACATTTAATTTTAGGAGGCAAAATTGTCCAGTACTTTAAATATCTACAAACTCCCGATTACTGTTGGCTAATAGTCAAAATTTTAAATATTAGATTCGACCTAATATTTCAATGTATAATATAATAAATGTTATATCAATACTGGGCTTACCCTCTGGGGGGGAAAAAAATCACCATTTCTTTGGTCAAAAAAACAATAGAATATCGACACACTTTTGTGTTCAAACTAAACATCAGCACTGCCTAAGCCTACTTTACTAAGGAAGATGACATCACTAAGGGAAACAGCCATCGTGGTTTTCCCTCTCTCTTACCAGAGACATCCTGGAAGAAGACCTCCTCCTGATCAGGTTCACGGTGACGGTCGGCGTTTGCCTGTAAAATAAGGCACGTTCTTAGAAGAGCATACATATGTTCTCCCTCTCGCTCGCTCTCTATACATACAATCTTCCTAATTCTACGAGAATAAATTGATAAGACGGTAAAATGATACAGGTTCCCATGCAAAAGACAAAGTAACCCAATCTCATACCTGAGACAAGGAAGGAGGGTCCCTGTCCCTGGCATGGCCTCGACCCCGTCCAGCTGCCCAGGCCCCTCTGACCACGCCAGGGGCTGAGCCTCCTCCCACAGCATCCGCTGCCTGGACTACCGGAGGGGCCGACAGGGGGAACCTTCCCTGGTCCATCCAGGACAAGCAGAGGGGGAAGGAGGTGAGGCCAGGCCACCCACAAACTCACCCAGAGGCAGCAAGACCGTGCAAACGCATCGCCCCGTGGCCTGGCTCAGCACTGACCACCCCACTGACACACCTGAGGGGTGGCCATCGGCTGCCAGCCCCAAAGCCGGAAGCAACCGGGACTGCCTTTAGCTACAGTCTGTTAACCACACACTCCAAATGTAATGAAGAGATAAGCTTATCAAGTTGGTAACTTAAGAATCTGTATTTCTTCTAAGGAATTCAGTTAGGGAAAGCAGGAGAGTAGGAAAATTGTTTTAGTGGGCCTGTGGTAAACCCGTTTATTTACCTTTCTTTCAAGAAACTTCTCTCCGGTTTTAAATGTACATTTTAAAAAGCAATGAGAATGGGTGGAGGTGGGAGAGGGCATAGAAGGGATAAATGGTGATGGGAAAAACTAAATGTTTTTAAAAAGCCATGAGAATATCAAGGAGGGCCAACTAACATTTACCAGATAATCTGAGAGTTTAAACGAGTCACAACAAGTCCCATCTCTGAATAAAATTAGAAACAGGAAGCAGAAAAACCCATTTGTAATTCTATAGTTTTTAAACAGAGGCAGGCATTTTTTGTTTTTGTGTGATCAGTTTTGTCAAAAGTTAAGATCTAGGAACCTAAGCACTAAGGATTCTTGGCTTTGCTGATGACTTACATAATTTTGTCAAAGCATTTAAAAAAGACACAAAAAACCTTTGCCATCTGTTCCTGGTTCATGAGCTTACACGGCACGTAATTACTGATTACAGAAATATGCTGTGACCTTCCGTTGCACTGCTCCAAGGACTAATGACTGCAAATCCACAGCACAAAGTGAACGCTCATGCCCCATTGCACCGAGCCTCGGCCTCCCCGATCGGCATTCCTAAGTGCTCTAACAACGAACATCACATTCAAACCCTGTACATTAGCTCAATACCAGGCGACCACAACCGCTTTTGCTAGATGATTTTCTTTTTCAATTAAACGCTTTAATAATTTCTTTCATTATCTTTGGAATGTAATAAGCTTGTTGATGAACAGATGTCTCTTTCCCAAGGACGCTCCGTTCTGCCAATATTTATGTTACTCAACAACCCCGTGGACACGACTTCCGTTACGCTACAAAAATACCACACATGCCCGGTTAAAGAGGCCTCCTTGGTGAAGCAGGTAAGAAGGCTGTGTCTGGGCTTTATTTAATTTTTTAATAGTCCTGAACTGCGCGTTAATATATTCCTAAAATCTGTGTCCAGAATTTGAAGACATTGCACTCTGCAGCCTTAACATTCACTCTGCATTTGCTCATTCTCCAAGGTCAAGGGTAGGTTTAGGCGAACTGGTCTTTTGAAGTTTCGATTTAGCCCAGAGCCTCGCCGAAGTGAACTGAACTTTAAAGCACTACAAATCTGAAAGTGAGACTTGGGAGGAAGGACTGCTGACAGAACCCTCCAACGACATGTCCAGAGTTGCCCAGCCTGCAGCAAAAGTCAACCGCAGTGTGTTAAACACAAAACCCCAGGACGCAGAGCCTAGGACACAGGCAGCAGCTCCCCCACGCGCTATCGATGCTGCACCCTGGCCGGCAGCACCCAGCATGCGGGCGACACTGCCCGCTGCAGACCCTGCACACACAAGCCAGTACCTCTTCCTCCTGCCACACTGTTTGGCAGAGTCAGCCTCGCCCTCGTTCTAATTTTCTAACCTCCCCTTTCTTCCTGCCAGTGTCCTGGTCAATGCAGTTCACTGTGGGACCAGCTACCCCGCACTCAGTGCACGACAGAAAGTGGGGGAACTGTTGGTTGTGTTTTCCAGACTTTGGGGGCCGTTTACAATGCTGATGGGTGCTGCCGACATGGGGCCGGTGAAGAACTCTTAGGAAAAAAATCACCGGAATGCGTGTACTGGGGAAGACAAAACAAGAAAAGGCTGCCAGCCCCGAGGAAAATAAATGGCAGGACTTGTTGAAACAGGGCTGAAGGCTGAGCGTGATCACCCGGTGGGGCCCACGCCAACCCCATTCGGGAGGACGGCTGACCCTGATTTCACAGATGAAGAAACTGATACTTAGATTAAGTAAGTTACTGCTGGTCACGTGGAAAATAAGTAGCAGAACCGGCAATTGAACAGGCAGGTCTGTCCACTTACTGAGCACAGGCTCCTGATAATTGATTATATGCCTAGAACAGCCCCCCCCCCCCCCCCCCCCCACACACACAACCCCACCTGCTCTGTAAGGCCCATGGGGGCAGGAGCACAGGCCATGGTATCGGCATACAGGAAGCCCTCCATGTTTGCTGAACCAAAAACACAGTGACTGAGGAGGGAAGTGATGCTCATTGCTAAGCATGGGCAGCTGAGCTATACTTCTGAGAGTTGTCTAAATTTTGCTTTGTCAGCTTCTTTCTTATAGATTTATGGCTACTGCAGAGGAATGAGATTTTTTTTTTTAAATATATTTTTATTGATTTCAGAGAGGAAGGGAGAGTTAGAGAAAGAAACATCAATGATGAGAGAGACTCATTAACTGACTGCCTCCTGCACGCCCCCTACTGGGGATCGAGCCCACAACCTGGGCATGTGCCCTGACTGGGAATCAAACCATGACCTCAAGAAAAGCCTAGGGGAGAAAAGGAATCCTGAGAGGCCAATTCTAGGCCTGCTGCAGTCTCATTAAATGCTCACCACGCTTGAGTTGACCCAGTTGGACCGTGAGAACGAGTCTACCAATACTTCAGTCTAGGTTTAGAGCCTTAGAAGACATGACCAGAAAATTAAAGTTATTTTCCATTTTATTACCTACCAAAAAGCTAAGCATTCATTTACTTCACCTGGGGAACAAGTGCTCACCATGAAACATACTCGTTTTCCACAGAGCGACGTGGATATCAACCGTCATGAATAATTACATAGGACTACCGTGTGGAAATGGACGTCCACGACCTACTGGATGTACAGAGATTAGAAACAAAATGTAGCACCAACTAATACGGAGGCCTGCGGGAAAGGAATTATATCGGTGGCTTATTCAAACCCATTGAGTCTTCATTATTTTCCAGAAAAAGAATAAGCTGAGGGAATGATGGGCCAATAATATGGATACTCTTCAACGTATGAAAGGCTTTATCCTTATGAAAAGGCTGTGGTCCAGAAGGTTGCATATCTACTCCCTGAATCTCAGAACACACTTCTGCATAAAAATACCGTCGCACGTGGCTGGTAGGTGGGCCAGCCCGGAGGAGCCCCAAATGCAACTATCCTGGACTAGCAGCACCCCCGAATCTAGCAGCAAGGGAACATTTCCACCCACAAATGCAGCCCAAAGTCCCAGCCAGGCAGCAAGCAGAGGCTCCCATATCCACAAGGAAGCAGGGGTACTCCCCGCTGCCAGCTGGTGCTTTCAGAAACCCCATCACCAGACCAGCAGGAGGACTCGGATACAAACAGGGGTGCAGGGATGCAGGGAGGGGGGGCAGGGACCTAAGTGGTAATCGTCAGGTGGTTCTGCACGTGTGAGGTTTTCTTCACACCCAGGGTCCCTATAAAACACAAGCACTCCCGCAGCCTTTCCTCTTCCTTCCTGGCCAATTTTTTTTTTCCCAATTGACTGTTAGTAGTTAAAGGAAAGCAACAAGGAGCGAAAGGGCTCTTCTCCCCACAGATCCGTCACCATGTCACCCAGGCTCCCACCAGGTGCTAACTAAGCCTATGCACGTACGAGGCCCCCTGCCAGGCTCCAGGGCACGAAGATGGATGGGAGGAGCCTGCCCTCAGGGAGCCCTAGCGGACACAGCAGACAAATCGCATCACAACGCAGACACGGACACTCCAGCAGTCTGCACAGGGGCTGACAGCACAGGCTCAGCCTTGCTGCTCCCCGTTAGCAGGGGAACAACACTTCACATCTCTAAGTCTCCATGCCATCGCCCACAAAAGGGCAATAATAACTACCACACAGGTGACTGTGAAGATGAGAGGAGATAAAAGCTCTCAGCATGATGCTCAATATGGAGAAAGCATTTGCTGAGTCAGAATTATTGTTATGAAAGTGACAGGAAAAAATTGGACTTGGAGAGTGAAACCGAGGACTAACAAACAGAATACATGGTGGTCTCAAGGCGGCTCTACATGCACACCAGATCTTGAAGAATGACTAGCTCTGCGAGAGAAGAGGAGGAAGGGCACGCCAGCGAGGCCTGGGGCTGCGAGGAACATCTGCATTGAAAGAACTGAGGGCCCTAGAGCCGGGATCAAGGGTGAGTGGGGCAGGGGAACCGTGCGAAAGAATACAGTGGGGCCTTGACTTACGAGTGTCCCAACTAACGAGTTTTTTGAGATACCAGCTGTCTCTCGGCCGATTTTTTGCATTGAGTTGACAGAGTAATTTGAGTTAACAAGCTCCTTAACGAGCTCGGTCTCAGAACGAATGAAACTTGTAAATCAAGGCCCCACTGTACTGGACTCTACATGTAATCCCATAGCTGAGGAAGAGTGGAGGGGGACAGGCTCGGATTTGGTCCCGGGGTGTAACCCTGAGAGCAGTGCTACGTCTTTTGCTCATCCAAACAGAACCCTGGCTGGAGCCAGGAGGGATGGGGCAGGCAAGGCCAGGAGGGATGGGGCAGGCGAGGCCAGGAGGGATGGGGTAGGTGAGGCCAGGAGGGATGGGGCAGGCGAGGCCAGGAGGGATGGGGTAGGTGAGGCCAGGAGGGATGGGGCAGGCGAGGCCAGGAGGGATGGGGTAGGTGAGGCCAGGAGGGATGGGGCAGGCGAGGCCAGGAGGGATGGGGTAGGTGAGGCCAGGAGGGATGGGGCAGGCGAGGCCAGGAGGGATGGGGTAGGTGAGGCCAGGAGGGATGGGGTAGGGGAGGCCAGGAGGGATGGGGTAGGTGAGGCCAGGAGGGATGGGCAGGCAAGGCCAGGAGGGAGGAGCTGCACTGGGCCAGAGGAGGGATGGAGTGAAACCAGGTCGCAGTTTAGCTGTCACTCGGCTGGGAAGCCGTTCCTAACTGGATGCTTCTGGGTTATGTACCCTTCTCCTAGGGGCTCCTACAGCACCCCCCCCCCCCCCCAAAGCAGAGCTCCTAACAATTGTTTCTATAGACTCATTCAACAAATTCATCAAGGCCTGCCGTGGGCCAGGCCCTTGTGCAGCGCTGAGAATACAGGGGTTAACAAGACAGGGAGAGTGTCAGCCATGAGCACGGCTGGGAACTGACCTGCTGGGAGGAGACACGGACAGTAAACAAGTAAACAAACAAACATAGATATTCAAGTGGTGCTAATTGCACGGGGATAGAGAGAGACAGGTTGTAGGGGGAAGGAACACAGGTGGGAAGGGACAGCCCAGCTGAAGAGGACCACCTCTGATCAATGACGACATGTGAGGACACGGGAAAAGAAGGGGCAAGTATAGCGCCCCCAAGGGTGTAACATGTTCACAGACCAGAAAGGATCCTATTGTGGCTGGGACAGGGGAAGCAAGGGGGAGGGTAAAGGCAACAAGGCTGGAACCAGGCAATGGCCCGATGACACAAGCCTTGTACTTTTAAGTGATGGAATGAGGGCCAGAAGAGTGATGGGATCTGACTCACGTTAAGATCATTCTGGCCAGGAGAGAAGCTATAGGCAGGGCAGGCTCAGAAAGGGAGTCTGGAGGCCACTGCCGTCTTCCAGGTGGGAGACTGTGGCAGCTGGCACTTCAGCTGTTAGCAGAGGAGGTGGTAACGTGTCAGATTTCAGGTACATTTTGAAGGCAGAGCAGGCAGAGCTTGCTGAGGAATTGGATGTGGATGAGAGAGAAACAGGACTCAGGTAGGTTTGGGGCCGGTGAATATGGTGTTGCCATCTGCCAACACGGGGAAGAGGGAAAAGCAGGCCGGGGGGCAGGAAGCAGGAGAGCACCTCAAGAGTTTGGTTTTAAACGTATCAAATGTGAGGTGCCTCGGAGGTAGCAGGTGGGGATGTCGACGAGGCGGGAGGATGTGTCAATCAGGTGTTCGGGGAGGAGACAGAGCTCGATGGGAAACCAGATGCACTTTCAGCACAAAGATGCCGTTTTTAAGCCCGAGGCCAGGTGAATCCCCCAGGAAACGAGCGGACGGGGCCGCTGAATATGGTGTTGCCATCTGCCAACACGAGGAAGAGGGAAAAGCAGGCCTGGGGGCAGGAAGCAGGAGAGCACATCAAGAGTTTGGTTTTAGACAAATGTGAGGTGCCTCGGAGGTAGCAGGTGGGGATGTCGCCGAGGCGGGAGGATGTGTCAATCAGGTGCATGGGGAGGAGACGGGGCTCGATGGGAAACCAGACACACTTTCAGCACAAAAATGCCGTTTTTTCAGCCCGAGGCCAGGTGAATCCCCCAGGAAACGAGCGGATGGAGATGAGGTCTGAACATTAAACCTCAAAGGTGAGTGAGAAGAAACAGCCTAGAAAGAGGAGAAGCAGGAGAGGTGGGGTCCTGGCAGCCAGGGAAGAGCAGGTGCAGGAAGGAAGGGCGGTCAGAGGGCAAGTGCTGCTGGAGGGTCAAGTGAACGAACAGAAATGACCACTGGGTGAGGGTCACTGTCCCTGGGACAGGCAGAGTCAATGGTGCGGCAGCTTCGTGGAAACAGGCTGGGAGGAAGGAGAGAAAGCAGGTGCACACAACTCCTTTGAAGAAATTTGCTATAGCCCTAGCCGGTTTG